CACATCAACCGGCACCAGAGGACACACACTGGGGAGAAGCCATATGCATGTGGGGACTGTGGCAAGGCCTTCATCCAGAAAGGGAATCTTGTCCTGCATCAGAGGACGCACACTGGGGAGAAGCCATACACATGTGGGGACTGTGGAAAGTCCTTCAGCCAGAACAGGAGCCTCATCGTGCATCGAAGGATGCACACTGGTCAGAAGCCGTACTTGTGTGGGGATTGCGGAAAGGCCTTCAGCCAGAACGAGTGCCTCATCCTGCACCAGAGGACGCACACTGGGGAGAAGCCGTACACATGTGGTCAATGCGGCAAGGCCTTCAGGCAAAGCTCCTCGCTCAGGGACCACCTGCGCTTGCATACAGGGGAGAAGCCGTACACATGTGGTCAGTGCGGCAAGGCCTTCAGGCAAGGCTCCTCTCTCAGGGACCACCAGCGTGTGCATACTGGAGAGAAGCCCTACAAATGCAGCCAGTGTGGTAAGGCTTTTAGCAAGAACTCCTCACTCAGGAAGCACGGGCTTGTGCACACCAGGGAGTAGCCTTACCAGTGCTCCATCTGTCAGAAGCACTTCATGACAGGCTGTTCTCTGCAGAAGCACTTGATGGACCACACTGTAGAGAAGCCTTGTAAGTGCAGCCAGTGCAGCAAAGCCTTCATCAGGAACTTCTTGCTTTCTGTTCAGCACAGGATCCATGTGGGAGACAAGCCCTATGAGTGTGTCAAATAGGGAGAAACCTTCAGGAACTTCAACCTCACAGGACACATAGCAGGGAGGTGGGGGATCTCAGACTGGCAGGTCTTGAGGTCATGGGCAAGTTCAAAACTGACATTTGGATCCCACAGGTAGGACACGAGAAGTCCTGCCCTGACATAGGAATGTGGGCTCTGGAGACAGACCATATCATACTCACTGTTTGCTTTTGCAGCGTCTGCATGGCCATATGGAAAGTAAGCCCTGCTACAGGTCTGGTATCTGGGAATGTGGGTAGGGGCACATGGCTGCAGACCAAGCTGGAGTGAACTGTCCTATGAGCTTGAACAAAGCATTTAATGTCTCAGGGCCTCCATCTCCTGTATAGTAAAGTAGAGGTGGGGGAGGAGGAAAGAATAGGGGGAGGTGGTTTCCATAGGCACATGGTCAGTTTTTTACACATACCCAGATCTAGTCCAGAGATCAGGTTGTTCCCATCTGTGTGTTTGCTCATTTCCCCCACACACAGCCCCTAGTTTCCCTGCAACACCAGCTGGAAGGCCCCAAGTTCATAAGCTGTAGAAGTTACCAGGTGGGTCTTGAAAAGAAAAAATCTTTTTTTCAGAATTAGGAAGTAACAATAACTTCTTCTGATACCAAAGTTTCTCATAGTGTTTTGGTTTTTTTTTTTTTTTTTTGAGAAAAGCCAGTGTAAAACACTTTTATTGCAATGTTCTTCTTCTTTTTCCCTAAGTTTTATTTATTTTTAGACAGAGGTGAAGGGGAGAGGGAGAGAAACATCAGTGTGTGGTTGCTTCTCACGCACTCACTACTGGGGAGCTGGCCTGCAGCCCAGGCATATGCCCTGACTGGGAATTGAACCAGCAACTCTTTGGTTCTCAGGCTGGAGTTCAGTCCACTGAGCCACACCAACCAGGACTTATTTTATATTTTTAATTTTATTTATTTATTCTGTAGAGAGAAGGGAGGGGAAGCAGAAAGAGGGAGAGAAACATTGATGTGTGAAACTTTGATCTCTTGCCTCTCGTATGCATCCTGACCAGGGACCAAACCCAACACCTAGGCATGTGCCCTGACTGGGAATCAAACCCACAGACTTTTTCTTTGTAGGACGATGTCCAAAGAAACTGAGCGAGACTGGTCAGGACATCTATTTATTTTATATTTTTTTAAGTTCAAAAGCATTACATGTTTTAAAAATCCAGTCTATCTCTTTCCTGTGTCTTCCATTGTCTTTAAGCAGAGAATGCACTTTTCCATCCACAGGCTGCTCGCCACCTACATGTCTTTCTTTTTTTCCATTTATCATTAGTGTGTTAACAATGAACTTGTATTTTTCTCTCCATCTGGAATTTGTTTTGCTGTATAAACACGTTGGTTTCCTTACCCATGAGTTTTGGTTTTGTCATGTCCTCTTAACATCTTTATTTAGATACACCTGGCACCTCCCCCAATCAATTTCACAATACAAGGTGGGTCAAAGTAGGTTTATAGTTGTGAGTATGTGAAACATGGAATTTATTTTATTTTTGCATTATTTATGGTGGTGTTTTCCATACAAACCCTACCCTGCATTTTCATCATCCTGAAAAGGAACCTTCACTCTCATTTCTACCCATCTACTCCTCTTTGCCACTGGATTCTCCAAAAGTGAACTGGGACTATACGTTTATTGTTTTGAGAGAGATGGAAAGGAGAACACTGATGTAAGAGAGAATTCAGCAGTTGCCTCCCATATGCTCCTCAGCCAGGAATCAGATTTGGTTGTACAGAAGACTGCAGGCAAAGGCTGGACACTGCTTATAAACAGAATCACACAACATGTGGTTCTTGTGTCTGGCTGAGAGTTACATTTTTGATTGTCATCTGTGTTTTAGCAGGTGCCCTTTTTCCTGACTCTATACTATTCTCACTGCATTTATCAGGCAGTGTGCATTTGGGTCATTTCCACTTTTTAGTTGTTATCGGTAATGCTGCTGCAAACATTTGCGTACACTTGTTTCAGCTAATTTCTTTTGGGTGTAGTCATGGAGGTTTTTGGCTCTTATGAGAGCAGTATGTTTACTTTTTAATCGTTTTGTTTTTAGATTTTATTTAGAGAGAGGAAGGGACGGAGAGAAATATCAGATTCTCATTCACCCACAGCTGGGGACCTGGCCTGCAACCTAGGCATCTGTCCTAGACTGGCAATTGAACCCGTGAGCCTCTGGTTCACAGGCCTGCACTCAATCCAGTCAGCCACACCAACCAGAGCAGAAAGAAAGAAAAAAACTTACCTAGGGAAATTGCTACACATGTTACAGAACAACAAGGGGGGGGTGTTACCAAAAGGAACCCTCCAGGTTCATTATGTCCCCTGCCTTATAGGAAAGGAAATGTTTATTTAATACTATACAAACTTAAAGTAGTGACCTAATGTCTTCATCAGAATCCCAAAGCCCCTTAAAACACCCACAAACACACACAGTCCTTTCTTCCCCCTTTGTCTAGCCTGGGGTACCGTATCTCAGGAAAAGAAATAGAAGTCCGTGGTTCAGGCACCCCCCAGTTCTTCCCAGTAATCCTTCTCAGCTGGTAGGGCTCCCTCAGTTCCCAGCACCATCAATTGTGTCACCAGGATATCTGCTAAAGCTGGGTGGTGGTTCCCCCTTCTAAAGCTGCGGGGGTCCCCACTCTGGCAAAGCCATGTGGCTCTCCTTTCTATTGCCACTGCCGCGTGGTCCCCTGCACAATGGCTGCAGGAGTCTCCACTCTGCCAAAGCCACGTAGTTCTCTCTCTGGCAAAGCCGCGTGGTTCTTCCACTGCCCCAGCCACATGGTCCTCTCGGCACAATGGCTGTAGCATCTGGGCATAAATCCCAGCGCCAATCTTCCACTGCAGCCCCATTTCTGACTCCTCCCACAATTGGCTACACTTGCCAGCACTCTCATATCCTTCCAGCTTTACATGGTGAGTCTGGGCAGGCATGACCCCATGTCATGGAGCCAATCTTCAAGCTCCCACGCAGGTGCTGTAACTAGGGGGAGTTGCCTCCCAGTTACATCTTGGGGGGAAGTTATTTCCATCACCCCGCCCCCTCAGCATGGCCACAGCTATTTAACATATTATGCAACCAGTTAAAGGTTATAGATACGTTAAATGACCATACCAGAGGTTAGCTGCAAAGCTGTTGCTATGCAAAACAGCTCTCAATGGCCCTGCTCCATCTGTCCCTTCCCCCAACCCACACCTGTGTGTGTGTGTGTGTGTGTGTGTGTGGGTGTTGAGGACATCTTAATATTGCATGGACACCTTGAGTTCTGGACCCCATTCCAAATCCCTAGTTGGGGTCTCCTCTTGGCTGCACCCTGTTACACACCGGCTCCCTTTCCCCGCACACAGAATTTCAAGTACTCTCTCCTGTGCTATCTTCCCTTGTGATAACGTCTGGATCGGGGCTGTTGAATCAGCTGCTGGAAAGTGTCTCCTGCTCCCTGTCTTGGTTTATTATCTCTCCTAACACATGCACAATAGAGGTCAGAACGGCGGTAGAGGGGAGTTGCTGGACCCAAGACTAGCTTGTCAGTCTGGGGATAAAGAAGCAGTGGTCACAGGTGGACCTTCCAGGTGTACACCAAAGATTGGGAAGTTAATTGGGTCGTCCTACACCCGAAACCAATATAAACCCAGCAGAAGAAAGGGATGCGCCCTTGCAAACCTGGCCAACACCATGAGTGTTACCAGGCCGCGCGGCACTGGAGCGCCTCTGCCAACAGCATTTTATCGCACGTGGCGCCTGCCCAGCAGCGGATCCGAGAAGGGAGGCAGGATCCAGTTGAGCAGCCAGTGTGACCCTCCCCCGCCCTCTCCAGCTTGCTCTTCTCCCTGCCCCCCTCCCCGCTCCTCGCCCTCCCAGCCCTCCACACTCTCCGCCCACCGTGCTCCTGCCGCGTCCCAGTCCTCTCTCCGCTCCCACTTCAACTACCCACTCCCAACACTGTCTTCCAATCATCCGCGAACCCCGCCTTTTTTTAAAAATAGCATATCCTGAGGGGAAGGCAGGGAACAGAAGCATCCCAGGTATGTGCCCTGACTGGAAATTGAACGGGCAACCTTCGGTTCACAGGCCAGTACTCAATTCACGGAGCCACAACCCCGCCTTCTTGAACGCCTTGCCTCCAGGGCTCCTGGGAGAAGCTGTGGTCCGCGTTTCTCCCCTTCGTCCAATCTGACGCCCTAGCTCCGCTGCGAGGCCCAGCGTAAGGGTGCCTCGAGGGTTTCTGGGAAATGCAGTCCGCCGGTCAGCGCCCATGCGGGGCTCCTGGCTGATGCCGGTCCTTTATCTGAGGGAATTGCTCGGTGAGGGGGGGCGTAGGAGACTTGGTGCGTGTCCCGGGAAGGGGTATGAGCACTTGGGAGCCGGTGCGGATCCAGGAGGGTTGTGAAGGTGAAGGTGATGCCTGAGGTTCCGGGGGCGGGGGGGCGGGGGCGGTGAGCGTGTGCTGCGCTGAGACTCCCTGGAGGTCTCTGTGAGTGTGTCTCCGTATTTGTCACCGCGTGTGTCCCGGTGGCCTCCTGTGTCTCGCCTTTGCTCGTGTGTGTGTCGGCTGCCCGTCTTGATCTCTCCGGGTTTGTGTGCGTGTCTGCCTTTGTTTCCGTCCGCGGTGTCTCAGCCTGAGGGCGCCATCCAGGTGTCCACCTGTGTCTGGTCTCTTCCTCTGCACCTGTGTGTCTGGGTGTGAATGTGTCTGTGCGTGTGGAGTGATTCTTTTGTCCAAACTTTACCCTGTCTGTGTGCACCTGCACTTCTGTCTCTGGGTATGGCTGACGTGTGTGAGCGGGTGCGTTGAGGATGCCCTCCCGAGAGCGTGGGGAAGACGGCTTTCCTGGACGGGCGGGCCTAGCGGATCTGCCTGCCTGCGGGTTCCAGAACCCATCTTCTTCCTGGCCCCTGGCCCTGGAGGGCAGGACGTGTGTCGTAGCCAGGTGTGGGGCTAAGGAAGAGGGTCAGAGATCCTGCCCCATGCTGACCTGGGTTAGTTTGTTCACGGAGTGCATGTTGGGTGCTCAGGGTATGGTTCTGAGCATTTTATAGGCCTCCCAGTAACTCTGAGATAGGGACCCTCACCACCCTCATTTTGCAGATGGGGAAACAGAGGCTCAGAGACTTTAACTGAATCACCCAACACAACACTCAGGCATCCAGAGCCCCACACTAACCACCCCACAGATGGCAAATCACAAATCCTTTTTCCCCTTAGAAACAGCTGACAGAAGGAAATGCCAGAAAGCTTGGACAGAGGAGGAAGAGAAGCCTCCATCCCTGGCTCTACAGCCTCAAATCTGAAGCCACACTGGGTTCAGAGGTCACCAACCTTGTGCACATGCCACTTCTAGGGCGACTGCCTTCATAGCCTCTTTTTAAATAAAGTAAGAATTAAAGTTCTGGTTACATTGCTATATGGACAAATATAGCCCAGACCGGATTATACTCACTTTTTCTTAGGATTTTGAAAGAAATGATATTTTTTAGGGCCCCTACAGGTGTCAGAAACCTTGGGCCCACTGTGCCTCCTGGGTAAGTTGGCTCTGGTGGCTTTTTTTCTGGCAAAAGGAATCCTTGTTTTTGACCTGGTGGTTCAGGGATAGGAGTCAGATGCTGCAGGTCTAGAAAGAATACATTTGTAAAAATTAAATTCTGTTTAAAAATTCATGAAGTCACTGCCTGGAGGAGACCTGGAATTTCAGACTGGACACTCAGCCTTCTGTCCTCTGCAGTGTTGTTTGTTGGTCAGTTGGTATTTTGTTTCTAGGAACAAGTGCTACAATAAACATTGTTTATATTTATTGATTTTAGAGAAAGGAGTAGAGAGAAACACTGATCATTTGCCTCCCACACACACCCCAACCAGGTATCCAGGGATCAGACCCACCACCTATGTACCACACCCCGACTGGGGATCAAACCCGCAACGTTTTGGTGTATGTGTTAACACTTCAAATGACTGAGCTATGCAGCCAGGGTGGGACTAAGTTTACTGTGTGCCACACAGCCCCAGGCTCTCTACCTGTATCTCTTCATTGAACCTCACAGTAATCCCACACTTTTGGGGGAGCCCTGGAAAGTGGAGGTGGTTTGAAGTGTCATCTAGGGGCTGGGTCCAGGACTCAGAGCCAGGGCAAAAGCAGAGGGTCCTGTTCCTCCCTTTAGGCCATGAAACAGGCAGTGTGCACATGTATGTTTGTTGAGGGAGTGTCAGTATGTCAGTGTGAAGTGCACCAAGCACATGAATCAGACATACAGAGCCCAGCCCCAATCCTACCTCTGTCATTTTGGGCACGTGGCTTATCTCTCTGGGCCTTAGTTTCCTCATCTGTAAGATAGGATAAGAGAAAATAGCTCCCACACTCAGTGTCAGGAGGATTAAATCAGAGATTTTTGTCAAGTGCCTTGGATGCCATACCCCCTTATGCATTTACTGTTAACATATGTTCATGTCCCTGTCTGCCTATCTTCTAATGGGTGAATCTGTCTCTCCTGTCTGCATTGTGCATCAGGCCTCAACCTGGTTTCTCACTGTGCCTTTCTCTTTCTCTCCCTGCATACAGCCTGCCCATCCCCTGGTCACCATGGGCACTGGAAGAATGGCCACCCAGCCTCTGACCAAGAAGGCCCTGGTAAGTAATGTCACCCTCTTATACTTCCTTCATAAGGGTCAGGCTTCCAAGCAGGGATGACCCTCTGCACCCCGACCCCCCATCAGGACCCTGTCTCCACTCTGAGGAGGGAGAGCACTGGCCTGACACTGGTTTATCAATTGCAGGGGACAGGATATCTCAGGAGTGCCCTGAGGCCTCTCAGGAGATACTGTTGGGCACCTGGGAAATGGAAGCTTAAACATGTTCCATCAAGTGTGACAAAGGCCCCTGCAGAGGCCCTGGGCAGTACGTGCTAGACAATGGACCTTCAGAATTGGGCAGATGTCATACATATCCAGGGGTTGGGAGGAGGATGCCTGTGGGAGGGACCTATGTATATCCCTATCTCTTGCCATGGTATTTTAGTGAGTGAGTATTTGTGGTGGTTTACTCTAAATTTCCTTTTATGCAAGAAATACTTTGCAAGAAAAAATATATACATGGCCCTGGACAGGTAGCTCAGTTGGTTAGAGGATCTCCTTGATATGCCAAGGTTGTGAGTTCAACCAATGAATACATCAATAAGTAGAACAACAAGCTGATCTCTCTCTCTCTCTCTAAAATCAATAAATTTTACACACACACACACACATATATATATGTGGCTGGGCATAAACCTTTTTTTTAACCTACCAGAGGATATGTTATTGATTTTTAATTTTTTTTAACATTTAAAAAAAATTTTTATTTATTTGTTTTTAGATAGAGGGGAAGGGAGGGTAAAAGAGAGGGAGAGAAACATCAGTGTGTGGTTGCCCCTCACACACCCCCTACTAGGGACTTGGCCCACAACCTAGGCATGTGCCTTGACTGGGAATCGAACCGGTGACCCTTTGGTTTGGAGGCTGGTGCTCAATCCATTGAGCCACACCAGCCAGGGCTGTTAATTGACTTTTAGATACAGAGAGGGGGAGGGGGAGGGAGAGGGAGAAACATAAATGTGAGAGGGAAACATTGATCGGTTGCCTCCTGTACACGCACCTATAATCAAACCAACAACCTTTTGGAGTATGGGACAATGCTCTAACCAACTGACCCACTTGGCTAGGGCTGGGCATAAATATTTTCCCTGCACTTTTTATCATTTCTTTAGGGGTGATTCCTTGCAGAGGAAGATTCGAGTAGGTATTCTTAAGGCCTTTCTGAAGTGTTTATAGTTCTGGATTGGGACAGTTTATACTCCCACCATTGTGGAGGAGGGGCTGTGACTTTTTCATGTTGGCCATTGTTCAGTGCTTATTCCACTCATTGGATAAAATGACACCTGGTATAAACTTTCCAAATGATAAGTGACACGTGATTTCATGTGATGTTTTACTGAGTAGCGTCATTTGTGGTATTAGTGAGGTTTGAATTTTAGAAAATATTTATTGGCCATTTCTGTGGGCAGGCAAATTACTTATCCTGTGCTTTACCAGTTGAAAGGAATCTTAGCATTCTTGTCATTTTTAAAAAAGATTTAATTAATTTATTATTAGAGAGATGGGAAGGGAGGAAGAAAGGAAGGGAGAGAAACAACAATGTGAGAGACAAACACCAATCAGTTGGCTGTCATATGTATGCCATCTGGGGACCAAACCCACAACCTAAGCATGTGCCCCGATTAGGAATGGGCTGGCGATCTTCCTGTCTGCAAAGTGATACCCAACTAACTGAACCACACTGGTCAGGGTATCAGCTTACTGTATATTTTTTTAAGTCTAAAAGCATTGCATATTTTTAAAGTCCAATCTGTTGGTCTCCCCCCCATTATTTTTAAGTGGAGAAAGCATTTCTTGATCCGCAATCTGCCCACCACCTACACATCTTCCTGCTTTCCGTTTATCATTTGGGTGTTAACAGTGAACTTTTGAACATTTGCTATCCACCTGGAATTTGTTTTGCTGTATAAACATGTTAGTTCTCATACCTGAGAAATTTGGTGTCATGTCCTCTAACACCTTTATTGAGAAACACTCCACATACCACAATGTGTACAATTCATTGGTTTTTGGTTGTGCAACCATTGCCACATTCAATTGCAGAATACAAGCTAGAGCCAAAGTAGGTGTACAGTTCTGAGTACGCAAAACACAGTTTATTCTTGTATTATTATTTATTCAATATTGTGGTTTTTCCATATGAATAACTGTAGACCTACTATCACCTCACCTTGTATTTCCATCACCCCGAAAGGAACCATCACTCTAGTTTTTTCCATCAACACCCAGCCCTTGTCAACTAGTCATTTACTTTTTGCCTCTGGATTCGACTATTCTGCTCTCTTTTTTTTTTTTTTAAGTTCTCACCCTAGCATATACTTATGATTTTAGAGAGAGTGGAAAGTTAGAGAGAGAAACATTGATGTAAGAGAGAAACATCATTAAGATGCCTCCCACATGCACTGCAACCAGGGACTGCTCTCATAATCTTTGGTTATACAGATGATGCTCCATTTAACTGAGCCACCTGTCAGGGATGGACATTTATTATAAATGGAATCACACAACATTTGTTTGTTGTGTGTCTGGCTGCTTTCACCGAGCATATGTTTTCGGTGTTCGTCTATGTCATAGTAATGTAACCAGGCAGTGTGAGGTCCAGTCCATTGTTGCCATGTATATACATAACACAAAGATTTTATGGAAGAAAATAGGTTTTATTAATAGGGTTCCCAATTTGGGTGGGCTGAAGCATTCCTGCTCTGATCCCTTCTTTTCCACAAGACACAGAAACCCCTTTGCTCCCAAAAAGATTACAAACCAAAGCTGTGCCCAGAAGTTCCCCATTATTGCTTATGTGTTTTTGGGAGCTTAAGCTGGCCATGCAAACGGGTCTCCATCCTTTCCAGGGTATGCACTAGTGGGTTTAAGAGTTGCCATCATCTTGCATCAGCTCTGCCTCTCAGGGTCTGGGGTGCACTGCCAGATCAGTCCATAGAGTCATGCGGGGGAAGCTCCATTTGTGAGGGACCTCCCAGCTCAGGCCTTCATGTGCTGCTCTTAGTCTGTGCACTGCCCTTAAGGCAAGAGAGAGGAGGCCATTCAGGACCTGTGTGCCGTACTGCACTGGACTGTACTGTGTTGTAACATTTCAAGGGCTGGAGCCTGGTGAAGCATGCATACCGGTGTGGGAGCCTGCTTAGGGGCAGCTGGCTTCCAGCCATGTGGAGTCTAAGCCCACTGTGAGCTAAGCCCACTGTGAGCGAGACCAGCATCTGCTGGTCTCGCCAGTGCTCTTATCCCTGCTGGGCCAAGCAAGAGCCCAAGAAGTGATAGAGCAACAGACTCCAAGCCCAAGAGAGTGAGCATCTGACCTCCTTCTTTTTCTTTAAACGGAATCCTGCTGCTTTGAATCTGTCCCAGAATCCCACATGCTCTGGAAGCCAGTGGGCGTGTCCACCTTTCCAACCAATGAGGACTGCTGTCAGACATACTTGCCTTTTCCCCTCTTCCAGCCGCCATGTTTAGCAAAGGGGCAAATCCTCCAGTCTTTTCCTCTCTTCCTGTTTCTCTCAAATCAATGAAAATATCCTTGGGTCAGAATTTTTAAAAAATACAGCCTGATTTCAGCGCTTTGGAATGGAGGTGAGTTTCTTCTTGTGGAGAAGAGATTTATGCCTGAAAGGTTTTCTTAGGCTCCACTGAGGAATAAATGCCAATCAGCCACAAAGTTAGGCAGTATAGAGCTTTATTGGGGTTTGCGCACCTGGGCGAGGTTCCCCGGTCCGCAGGGTGGGGCCGAGGAAGTTGCCCCCAAGTAGAAAATATGGCGGGGTTTTATTTTGGTTGGCTCTCTTTGTGGGAGCTGGGGATTGGTCCCCTTTGAACAAAGCTGCAATATATCATTCGTGGTTCTCCTCACGCCCTGGTTTGACATCAGCCGTTTTTTCTGGGTTGTAGTTCAGCTGCTATTTCGCCCTACCCCGCCCATCCTCACAGTGCCATTAAACAAGAATCCAAAACAGATGGAACCCTGGAGTGAGTGGCCTCAGACCTGCTCACAGAGCACTCAGAGGGGTTGGAAGCTCTTGGAGGGAAGCCCCATTTCCAAGGGAATCGCCTGACCCTTCGGTGGGGTACTCGTATCTCCCCTACAATAAACTAGTTGTTCAGTGTGGGCTCCCAGACGCCCAGGACCGTCTCTGGTGTTCAGCGTGTCCCGGCTCAGGCTTGGTGCATGGAGCCTGCGCAGTAAAAATTTCATTGAGTGAGTTCATTCAGGCAGAAAGACTTACGTAATACTTTCAGCAGGAGTTATATTTAAGAAATTAAAAAGAAATAAATACAAACATAAAGGGGGGCAGGAGGAAAATTTGGGAGGTGGTGGATGAGTTTGTGGCCTCGTTGGTGTTGATGATTTGAAAGATGTGTACGTACTTCAACCTTATCACACCTTGTTTTTTAATTACGTGCAGCTTTCTGTATGCCAATCATACCTCAATAACATAGTTTAAGAAAAATAAATTATTTTTTTACCGAAGGATGAATGGGGCAAAGAATCGTAAAATAATAATATAAATATTAATGATAAAAGAGATATATAACATGTCCAATTAATCAAATGATAAACAGCACCAGTTGACATTACTAAGAGCTTCCTTCAGCCATGCCACACTGTGGAGTCACACATATGTGACCTTATTTAACCTCATGATAGCTACAGAGGCAGGTGTTATTACTAGGAGGTCCATTGATCTAACGGGCTTAGAAAAGTTAAGACAGTTGTTCAAGGAAACACAGATGGGGAGAAAGAGCCAGAATTGTGTTGTACTCTCCCAAGCCCAGACTCAGCCACTGCCCAGTACTGCTTCCTGGTCACATGCTGGTTGTCCCAAAAGGAAGAGGCCAGCATGAGTCCCTGTCAGGCACTCAGACCACAGAGGGATAGGCTAGCACTTGCATCCTCCTCTCAGGAAGAATGAGCCATGGTTCATGTTCCACAACAGATATGCTACTCTGCGGGTCGCGGGGCTGCTGTCACAAAGCACCACTGACGGTGGGGCTTGGACAACAGAAATCTATCTTCCCACAGGTCTGAGGCCCAGAAGTCTGAGGCCAAATCATCTGTAGGGCACTGTTCCCTCTGAGGGTGCCCAGGAAGGGGCTGTTCCCTGCGTCTCTCACAGCTTCTGCTGGACCTGTGGCTCGTGGCACTGTAACTCCCATCCTTATGTGGCATGTCCCTATCTGCATGTCTCTGTGTCCAAATTTCTCCTTTTTATAAGGACATCAGTTCTGTCACCTTAGGGACCACCTTCTTCAGTATGACCTCATCTTAACTCTACACCTGCAATGACGCTGTTTCCAAATGAGGTCCCATCCTGAGAAGCTGGGGTTAGCACTTCAACACAGGAACTCAGCATGAAACTCAACCAGTAATATGGCTTAGACTAAAACCTGACACAGAAGAACCACTTAGTGAGTGACAGGCATCATTAATGCTGTGGTGACGACACTGTAATCATCATGTCATCTTGTCATCCACCACACTATAGAGCTATGTTTATTTCAGCAAGAGTTCATGGTGTTGCATCCTTGGTACCCCATCTGCCATTTAAGCCTCAGGTCTAGATTTACCTCCCACCACCAGGAATCTCCCCACAGGGACCCTACCACCAACTACACCTTCCAGCTTCCCAGATGCCCCCTAGAGATGCCACTGCTTGGGCACTTGTCATGATGGTATTGACCAGATTGTAGGTTATGGGTGTTTCCATTTTATAGGTTTGAGGTAATATCTCATTGTGGTTTTAAATTGCAGCTCTCTGATGATGAATGATGTTGAGCATTTTCTCATATGTTTATGGGCCATGTGGATGTCCTCTTTAGAGAAGTGTCTATTCAGGACCTTTGCCCCTTGTTTAAATGGGTTGTTTGTCTTCCTGGTGAATAGCCCCATAGTTTATTTGACCCTCTCAGGACCACCCAGTGTACTTAGGCACCAAGGACACTGAGTAGACAGACCCTTCAGAGCTCCGCAGCCTATCAACACAATGTCAGGTGCATCCTGTGTGCCTTCCTGATCCATTCAACCCTTCTGGGAGCATCTCCCAAACTGAGGAGGGCCCTGAAGTGAGTGGTGTGTGCTTACTCTTACAGGGGTCAGTGGCGTTCAGGGATGTGATTGTGGACTTCACCCAGGAGGAGTGGCAGCAGCTGAAGCCTGCACAGAAGGACCTGTACAGGGACGTGATGATGGAGAACTACTGGAACCTGGTCTCACTGGGTAAGAGGGCAGCTTCACTGCATTACTCACCCTCTGCTTGTCCCCTCATGGTGACACAGAAAATAAAAAAGATGGACAGATCTGACATGCAGGATATTCAAATTACTTGAAGCTAAAAATAAAGTTGATAGGTGATGAAATGGAGTCAAGTATTTACCTCATGTATAACAAGATTCTAAATATATAAAGAACTCCTAGAAAAAAAGAAAAAGAAAAAGAATGAATGATAGAAACATGGACAAAGCTTATGAGCATGCAATTCCCAGATGTAGAAATGCATGGAGTTAAACTGAACAAAAGATTTGTAAACCTTACTAATAGTCAAAGAAGTACCAATTGGGGCACAGAAATACAACTGTTGCCCATGAGGTACACAAAGGTGAAAAAGAATAACAGCCCTGGTCAGGTGTGGCTCAGTTGGTTGGAGTGTTGTGCTGTACATGAATAGGTTGTAGGTTTGATCCCCAGTTAGGGCACATACCTAGGTTGCCAGTTTGATTTTTGGTTAGGGAGCATGCAGGAGGCAACCAATGGATGTTTTTCTCTCACATCAATGTTTCTCTCTCTCTCTCTCTCTCTACCGCCCTTCCCTCATTCTCCACTTCCTTCCTCCCCCTCTAAGGATGTCCTTGGGTGATGCTTAAAAAATATTAACAGCCCCATGTAGTATGAGTGCATAGAGAAAGGGACTATATTTTTGTAGCCTCATGTTCAGTCAGCTATTTTGGAAGACACTTTGGCATCATCAACCAAATTGTACATGAATTCATTGCTGTAATCTATCCTTAAAAGTGTTCCTGTAAGTGTGCAGAGCTTTCAAAAGAAGAAAAATCAAGAGAAATGCCTGGATGCCCACCTACAAGACTGTTCAACCATATCAGGGTGTAGCAATATGATGGAAATCACGAGATTCTCAAAGATGAGCACCCTTTGTAGTCTCTGACACAGATGTCTCTTGTCAGCTGTGTACCACTCCCACTTCTTTGGTTGCCTCCTAGGAAGCAGGGTTCCAGGTAGCCAGATGTTCAATTTTTTAATGAGATTTTTGTGTAAGATCTCACAGTTTTCAAATGCTGGAATGAACTGTGAGATACATATGCAGAATGTGGAACTCAGGACAGCCTCCTAGGCTGGAAACAGCAATTGAGGAACACACAGGACACACCCAGGAGAGGACTGGAGTGTCTGGGGTCAGCAGGGCAGGATGAATGTGTAAAGAGGAGGGGTATGGGCCAGCCACCATGGCCAGGCCGCTCCTGGGCAGGGTAGGAAGGCAGGAGCTTTGCTAGCTGATAGGGCAGCAGAGGACAACCAATATAGCCACACAAGAGTCAGCTCTTACTTTATCATTTCTAATTACAGTCCATGCTATGAAAGCACAGCTGGCTGAAGGCATACAAGACGAGGCCTAGAAGCCAGGATCTGGGTGCAGTGAACCCTCAGTGAGTTTGCAGGAGCCTTTGATCTGCTTTTCCAAGCTCGCCTTCCTCTTCTTTCTCTCCAGGGGTCTGTCTGCCGAGCTCTGAGCTCTGCTGGCCACTTTTGTGCCCACTCTGAAGGGGACTTTTCTCGCTCTCTGCTCACCTCCCTACACCTCACTGTCTCAGCTCACATCTTTCCTCTGTCCCTTCGACAGGGTGTCCCCCTACTCCCAGGTTGTGCCTTGTCATGCCTTGGGAAGGTCCTCCCTCCCAGCTTTGTTAACTACATGTGTGTCCTCATCTCTTTCCCCCTCCCCTCAGATTTGGAGGCAAGACCTGACATGAAAGAATTGGACCCACAGGAAGACAAGTGGGAAGACAGACCATCTGTTGTGGTGGTGGTGGAAGGACCCAAGAGGAACGGTGCTCAGGGTTACAATTGTGAAGGAGTGAGGACACAGGGTGACTGGGTGGGGCAGCGACAAGGTAGCCCAGGGACATGTCTGAAGTGGTTGGACATGTCCCAAGCTTTATCTCCTCAATGTTGTGAACTTACAGCATACATGCACCAAAGCCCCATGCCAGTCCCACCAGGATTGGAAGGACCGAGAGAAGCGGGAACGCACTCCTTTGCCATGTGTGGGAAGGACTCGGGTACTTCAAGCCTAGATCCTCCCTCCAAACACTGTGCAGAGAAGAAGCCCTATGAGTGTGGGGACTGTGGCAAGGCATTTAGCTATAACTCGTGCCTGAAGAAGCACCAACGAATCCATACCAGGGAGAAGCCATACCATTGCGGGGAGTGCGGCAAAGCTTTCGGTTATAACTCATCCTTGAAGATGCACCAACAAATACACACCAGGGAGAAGCCCTTCTCCTGTGCCATGTGTGGAAAACAGTTCCTCTGGAAATCTTACCTCACTGTCCACCAGCGCATGCACACGGGGGAGAAGCCCTTCTCCTGTGCCACATGTGGGAAGCAGTTCCTCCGTAAGTCATGCCTAACCATCCACCAGCGTGTGCATACTGGGGAGAAGCCATACGAGTGCACTGTGTGCAGGCGCACCTTCAGTCAGAGCGTGCACCTAACAGAGCACCAGCGGACACACACGGGTGAGAAGCCATTCACATGTCCTGAGTGTGGCAAGGCCTTTAAAAGGAACTCATCACTCACTCTGCACCGCGGGATCCACATGGGCAAGCGGCCCTACACATGTGGCCAGTGTGGCAAAGCCTTCACCAACAATTCCTTGCTCAGGGAGCATAGGTGTGTGCACACCGGGGAGAAGCCTTACAAGTGCAGCCAGTGCAGCAAGGCCTTTAGCCAAAGCTCCTCACTCAGAGTGCACCAGCACATGCACACCGGGGAGAAGCTCTACAGGTGCGGCCAATGTGGCAAGGCCTTTAGCCACAGCTCCTCGCTCAGGGTGCACCAGCGCGTCCACACTGGGGAGAAGCCCTGCAAGTACTGTGTCTGCCAGATGCACTTTGCCACACGCAGGTCCCTTGTGGTGCACCAGACTGGCCACAGTGGCAAGAAGCCCTATAAGTGCAGCCAGTGTGGCAAGGCCTTTAGCTACAACTTTTCCCTCAGTGAACACCGGCGCATGCACACTGGGGAGAGGCCCTACAAGTGCTCCATTTGCCTGATGCACTTTGCAGTACGCGCATCACTGGTGGCACACCAGGCCAGCCACACCAGCAAGAAGCCCTACAACTGTGACCACTGCAGCAAGGCCTTCAACCTCAACTACTCACTCAGGGAACATCAGCGCGTGCACACTGGGGAGAAACCCTACAAGTGCAGCCAGTGTGGCAAGGTCTTTAGTTACAGCTCCTCGCTCAAGGAGCACCAGCATGTGCACACTGGGGAGAGGCCCTACAGGTGCTCCATCTGCCAGATGCACTTTGCGGTGCATGCATCCCTAGTGGCACACCAGGCCAGCCACACCAGTGAGAAACACTACAAGTGCAGCCAGTGCAGCAAGGCCTTCAGGCAAAATTCCTCACTCAGGGAGCACCGGCGTGTGCACACTGGAGAAAAGCCCTACAAGTGCAGGCAGTGCAGCAAGGCCTTTAGCTTCAAATCCTCTCTCAGTAAGCACAGGCTCATGCATACTGGGGAAAAGCCCTATAAGTGCAGCCAGTGCAGCAAGACCTTCAGCAAGAACTGCTTGCTCAGGAAGCACAGGCATGTGCACACCGGGAGTAGCCCTGCCAGTGCTCCGTCTGCCAGAAGTGATTCGTGGCACTCTTGTCCCTGCAGGAGCACCTGACCAAGCATGCAATGGAAAAGCCCTATACGTGCAGCTGGCGTGGCAAAGCCTTCGTCAGAGACTTCTTGATTCCCATCTACCATGGGATCTACCTGGGAGACAAGCCCTGTAAGTGTGACAAGTGCAGGAAAACCTTCAGCAAGAACTTCAACCTCACACGACACCAGAGGATTCACACATAGCAGATGTGCGTGGGATCTTAGAATCTACACCCAACAGGCAGATCCTGAGTCCATGGGCCAGTGCTAGACTTGACAGTGCAGGCCACAAGTAGACACAAGAGAAATCCTGCCCAGACGGGTCATAGGAATGTAGGCACTGGGGACAGGCCACACCATGCTCACCATTTGATTCCCCAGCATGCCCAGGGCCATGTGGAAAGCAAGCTCCCCTACAGGTCCAGTATCTGGTCCAGTGGCCAGGGGCACTGTGGCTCCAGACCAAGCTGGAGTAAACTGTCCTATGAACTTGGACAATGCATTTAGTGTCTCTGGGACTCCATCTTCTCAACACTAAAGTAGAGGAGTGGGAGGAGGAAAGAAGAGGGGGAGGTGGGCTCCATGGGGACATTGTCACTTTGTCACACATGCCTAGAGGTAGTCCAGAGAACAGGATGTCACCATCTATGTGTTTCCTTGTTTTCCCCACACACAGCCCCTAGTTCCCTGCAACACCAGCTGGGAGGCCCCAAGCTCATAAGCTGTAGAAGTTACCAGGTTGTTCATGAGGAGAAAAAATATTTTTTTCAGGATTAGGAACTAACAGTAGTACTTTAGATACCAAAGTTTCTCATAGTGGGCTGTTAAAAATATTTTTTAAATAAAACTTTGAATTAAATGACATCAACATTGTTTTAAACAGTGATCAGGTACAAAAGATTCAGGGACTGGTAGTCCTGTCCAAATGAGTGCTAACAGTTGGGGGGGGGGGCAGGATCACAAATACCTCACAGGAACCCCAGGAACTGAGCAAGCCTGTCCCAGGCCATGTGTCTGCTGCAACCCCGATTCCTGGCTTGGGAATGGTCACACCATGTCTCATGCCTGTTATCAGAACAGGTTTCTCTGAGGTTTGCTGGTCTCCTATGGTGATGAAGAAATACTATCAGAATATTTCTGTGTTGGACAGAAATTATATCTGTCCATCTGCCCACCACACACACACACACACACACATACCAGCAGCATCAGGAGGTTCAGTGAATTCTCATCTGTTATCCTGAATGCTCATTTCCCCAGTAAACATCTCCCATGGCATGAAATTTCATCAGGGGAATTTCCCTTTGGCCCAAGTTTCTTTAAAGAGCTGCCTAGCAGGGAATGTGACCTTACAGATGATCACCTGCTTTCTATAGGGGTTGAGAGGTGGTGAGAAGAGAGGCATTTTTTCACTGCTGAATTCCATGTGGTGCAGGGAGGTTCATGTGACTGTGACAGGTATGTGTGTCAGGGGGTTGTGAGTTGGGTCAAGAAGGATGTAAGTTGTTTTCTTTCCTGCTTAGTGTTGGGGAGAGGCTGTTTGAAGACATAAGAAAGTAGATATATAATACATAAAGACCTAGAAACTGCATCCTCTGGTAAGCAGGAATCTCTAGAGACAAGGGTTTAGGTGAACAGCAAGTCAGTCAACAAGTGTGTGTCTCCTCTGGGCCAGGCAGTGTTCCAGGTGCTGGGAGTCCAGCAGTGAGTGAACCAGAGACCCTCATCTCATGGAGCCCATACCACTCTTTTCTGAGCGAGATCGGAGGTAATGAGGTAGAAAGTGAATGGCGGGGCTGTTTCAGTTTTGGCAGTTAAGGAGGGTCTCTCTCAGAAGGTGGTATTGGAGCACAGCCCCAGTAAGCAAAGAGAAGACAGCTGTGTAGATACTGGGGGCAGGGCAGTGTCCTCTCAATCCAGGCTCAGTAGAGCCATGCTTGAAAGAGAAAACATTGGTAACCCCCCAAGGATCTGTCCTTAGGAAGTTTGTTAAATATATTCAGTCCATCTGGATAAGACATGGTGAGGAATTGCGGAAGATGCTCTGACATACAGCATTAAATAAAAAAGCAATTGACAATAGTATCTACTATGCATTCTTTGTGTGTGTGTTTGTGTTTTTAAATACAATTTCAGTGAAATTTATTACATGGTATACAAAAGCTGAAGACATGCAGGACAGTAAAAAAGTAGAAGTCTTACATTTTTAATTTTGCCTTTAAAATGGCATTTTATTTTCATGTGGGCAAAAACTGGTGAATGAGATATCTACTTTCTTTTTTTAATCCTTACCTGAGGATATGTTTATTAATTTTGGAGGAAGGGAGAAAGAGAGAAATCAGTGTGAGAAACATCGATTGCTTGCCCTCCATATGCTTCTCAACCGGGAATTGAACCCACTTACCTGGGTATATACCCCGACCAGGAATCAAACCTGAAACTTTCTGGCGTATGCCATGACATTCCCACCAACTGAGCCACCTTGATGGGCCATGAGATCTACCCTCTTAACATAATTTTAAGTGTGTAAGATGGTACCATTAATTAGAGGACAATGTACAGTAGCAAATCTCTTAAGACTCTTCACCTGCATAATTGAGACTTTATGTTCATTGTCAAGTTAAGTTAAATCTTTTCAGGTTCATACTGCTTTTTTTTTTCCTGTGTGCTATATTTGTTCTTCAGCTTACAGGGAGCAAGCTGCCCATAGTTTTCTCCAAGTCCATGTTTCTTGGCCTCCAGTTCTTAGGTGTCCAAAGAGGGAACCACCAACCTATCTGTGTTGGAGGGTGTCATTTGTTTTTAAAAGGTATATCTATATACGTTTACATGTAACTCTAAAAATACATATACATAGTAGTAGAATAAATACTTGTACTTTTGTACAAGATGTTACTCTGTTGAGATGCTTCTGTGAAGGTCGATAAATGGCTGCTGACTAAGGGCTCTGAAGGCCCTGCCTGGGGCCTTTCCCCCTCCTGCGCATCACAAAAGGGTGGGATCAATACTTAGACTGCCTGCTGCTTCTGTGCATTTGCTAATTTACTGACATGGTCCAGTGGGCAGACAGAACACAGTGTACTTACCCACCTGACCCGACACTGGGACCCTCCTGGTGGCTTGGTGGGTGGCAGCATCATCCCCATATGCTAAGTTTGGGGCTTGGATCCCCAGTCAGGGCACTGATAAGAATCAAGCAATGCATGCATAAATGAGTGGAGAAACAAGTCCACCCCTCAGCTGTTTCTCTAAAATCAACTAATAAAAATAAATACATGTCACTTGATTTATAAAGAATCTGTGTTTAGAAAGTTAACCCCATGAGTCAGATGACAGAAGCCCTGTGGGAGGCGGTGGGGAGAAGGCAGGTATTTCTTTGACTGGACTTGGCAACCCTGCTCTTCTGGATTGCACCCCAAACAGCCCAAGTGCCTGGACGCTTCAAGGTTTGAGGCAGTGAGGTGAGTTTTTCTCATTTCAATTATTATTCTTTCATCCTGCAGGATGAACTGAAGAATTTTCTGAAGTAATGAACAGAAAGGTCACTGAGAGCTGATTGCCCTGGGGAAATCCTTACAGTTTCTTCTTTTTTAAAAAAATATTTATTTATTTTTAGAGAGGGGAAGGGAGGGAGAAAGAGAAGGAGTGAAAAATGGATATGTGGTTCCCTCTCACATGCCTCCAGTTAGAGACCTGGCCTGCAACCCAGGCATGTGCCCTGAATGGGAATCGAACTGGTGTCCATTTGGTTTGCAGTCTGGCACTCACTTCACTGAGCCACACCAGCCAGGGTTAAAGTTCCATTTACAGGCTGAATTTGGGCTTCTCCACATGAGTCTCTGGATCTCAAATGATCTTTCTGTAAATGACCTACATGTCTGCTAGTTGTGGGAAGGGTCACAATAGCTACAAACATCTGTTACAGGGGAGAGACCCCAGTGTGGCCCCTCTCTGACACTGAGCTTGGTCCTCAGTTCTTGTCTCACTTGCAAGAGTCGAATTCAAAGGAGTGCAAATATGTTTGATGGAAATGAAATAACACATTTATTTAGGAGAAACATATAGCACAAAGCTGCAAGCAGGCCCCCGTGCTGTTCTGAATGCCCTACGTATAGAGGAAGTAAAGTAACTTTATTAGTACATTTGTTGGTAAATTTGTTGTGTACACTTGAGCGCAGGCTACAAGTGGGCATTCAGCTAATCTGAGCGTGCTGACTATTGGGGATCAGGTGTTACATACTTCAGTTTCTAGGTTCCCCTCCTCCGGCTTCTAAACCTTGGGGATAATGTACAGATACAAAGGCTTTCTTTCTCAGCTAGAAAAGGCTATTTGTCTTAGTGAAAATGCTATAGAGGTTCCCTTTCCCAGCACACAGTCTCAAGAACTCCCCTCTTCCTGAGCTGTTTTTACTTGTGATGTTTGGAAAGCCCAACAGTCTTAGTGGACTGGGGTGAAGACTGCTGAATCAGCGGGGTGAGATGTGTCATTCTGCCCCTCCCTGCCTTAGATTTCTAACTGTCCGACCTGACATTCCCCCCTCAAGCACTGGAACCCAAATATTTGGGCACTTTGGGGTCACAAATGCTGAGGCTACTTCCTGCTATAAAGGCACATTGATACGTCTTTGGGCTCCATTCCTTTGCCAACAGTTCGAGAAGGTGGAGGGAAGTGCCTGCACATCGGTCCGTGATAGATGTCCTGAGCCCGGGATTCCAGGGGTTGATAGTAATTACTGTGTCCTGGAGGGGATAACGCTGACAAAAGGGTTAGTGGAACAGACAACCTGGGACTCTGTCTGACAAGGGTTAAATCCAATAGGGATAGAAAAATTCCTTTCAGGGGGAGGAGCCTGAGCATAATTGACAGGCTGGTGGAAAGAGTGTTAGAAATGTGAGAAAGACAATTCTATTAAGGCCTAGTTGTTGTGTTATTTATCTGTAACAGGTTTTTTGCCTCTTGAAGAGGAATTTGAGGTTCTCAATGGCCTCATAAGCGTATGTCTCAGGCTGTGGTTCCTGTGGGGACTTACAAGACACAGGTTTAACGTGAGATAGGTGGACCTAGGGGCTATTCCTGTGAGCTTTGCTGTAGTTGGGGTGTCGAGTAGGACCTGAAGTGGACCCTTTCATCTGGGTCATAGTTGAAAATTAGAATAGTGGTTCTTCTAGGTTTTTTAAATAGACTATGGCTCCTGGTTTGACTTGTATGTGTTGATGGACTTAAGTTTGTTTCTATATTTTGTAATGCCTTTTGTATTTTTCCTAGATTAATGGTGGAAGAGAATTTAGTGTATTACATGCTTATAGCCCAGGTCCTCTGTGGGGGGAATAGGTAAGTATATCATTTACATATCTGATTACTAGGCTATCCCCTCAATTGACAGGCCCCTTAAGTCCTCTGCTGATGCTTGCCTCAGTAAAAGAGGGCTGTCCCTAAATCTCTGAAGGAGGTCAGCCCAGGTTAGTTGTGGCTTATGTCTCTCTGAATCTGTCTATTTAAAGGGAAAGAGCAAGTTCTGGTTATAGGCTTTTCTGCTACTGCTAGGATGATGCAGGATTGTAAGGAGAGGCCTCCAGAGAAGGAATTAAGGGCAGAGTAGGTGGCCCTAGTACTCAAAAGAAAGTTACTGTCCTATCTGCCATATCCATGTACACCGTAGCCTCCAGTCCAATAATGGCAGCCTCCTCAGGTGGGGCTGGCTGGGACCGGTGGCTTTAGTCCTGAGTCACTATTTGCCAGGCAGTGGTGGTACAGCAAGGCCTTCATGTGAAGTGCTCCAGTGGGACAGAGCACAGTGTACTTACCCACCTGGCTTGAAACTGGGTCCCTCCTGGTGGCCCAGTCGGTAAAGAATTGCCCTGATATGCCCAGGTTGCAGTTTCAATCTCCAGTCAGGATGCATACAACAAAAAAATGAATCCTTCAATGAGTGGAACAACAACAACAAAAAAATCAGTGCCTCTCCCGCTCTCTCAAATTAATTACTTAATTAATTAAAATGTGAAGTAGATTCTTCTCCTTGTGGGATGATCTTTACTTACAAGAGTTTTCACTTGTTGCCACAGAGAACAATAGGTCCCCCGCCCATGGTGTGGTCTCCCTGCAGAGTCTTACCCAACAGGGATTCCATGATCGTGGGTGACTCAGCTGGGCAGACCATGGGCTGCACCCAGACAACAGAAGGACTTGATTCAGCTCACTTAGTTTATTTTCAACTTAAAGAGTTGTTCACCTTAAGTCACTGAAATATTTTACATTTACAAGCACCACACTTTATCCATTTAAGCCTTCAGGAAAAAAATCATAGAATATCTGGTTGCCCTGGTTGGTGTGGCTCAGTGGACTGAGCATCGGCCTGCACACTGAAAAGTTCTCCAGTTCTATTCCCCGTCAGGGCACATGCCTGGGTTGTGGGCAACGTCCAAAGTTGGTGGCATGCAAGAGGCAACCAACTGATGTTTCTCTCACACATCAATGCTTCTCTCCTTGTTCTCTCTCCTTTACCCCCTCTCTAATAAAATGTTAAAAAAAAATCTGTTATGTGCCAAGACTACTCCTAAGAGGTGGAGACTCAGAGGTGTACTGTAAAACTACATTCTCCCATCACCCATGGACATGGACAACTGTGGGGACTGTCTGTGGGAAGGGGGGTGCTGTGGGGAGGGGTCAAAACAGGAATAATTGGGACAACTGTAATAGCATAAACAATTTTAAAAAATTTAGCCCTGGCTGGTGTAGCTCAGCGGATTAAGTGTGGGCTGCAAACCAAAGGGTTGCCAGTTTGAATCCCAGTCAGGGCACATGCCTGAGTTGTGGGCTAGGTCCCCAGTGGGGGCCACGTGAAAGACAACCACACACTGATATTTCCCTACCTCTCTTTCTCCCTCCCTTCCCCTCTTTCTAAAACTAAATAAAATCTATTTTAAAATTAAAAAAATTTAAAATTTAAATAAAAAGAAACAATCCCCAGAGCCACCGCAGCGCTCACATTGCAGGGCACATTCCACTCAGGCTCCCGAGGACAGTGATATGGTGAAGAGACACACTGGTTATGGGAAGATTG